TGCAACATCAAATTATACCAACAACTGACAATCTTAATAAATTTTATGGTTTAGCACGTTTACATCGGGTGATTGATGGTGCTCTTTATCGTACATTTCGTAGTTGCTGTTCAACTGACGGTCAACAACCTATTATATCATTATCATCTGAATGTTTACTTCTTGTTATTTCTGCTTCAGAAATACCTCGTATTTTACAAATTGCTCATGATCATGCTACAGCTGCTCATCTCAGTCGTCGTAAAACATTATCTCGGTTAATTTCACGTGTTTACTGGCCACATATGCGCCGTGATGTTACTAATTATGTAAGAGCATGTACATTATGTCAACAATACAAGCCGACTAATCAAAAACCAGGTGGTTTTATGAAACCTATAATTGTTTCAGAACCGTGGCATACAGTCGGTATTGATATTGCTGGTCCATTACCGAAAACTCGTCGTGGTAATCGTTTTATTCTCGTGGTGGTCGATTATTTACAAAATGGATAGAACTTTTCCGCTTCAATCTATTAAAGCAAATACTATAGCTCAATTATTCTTCGATGATGTTATTTATCGATTTGGCTTTCCTGTTCGTGTCATATCTGATAATGAAGTTCAATTTCTATCTAAAGTATTTATTCAATTATGCCATATACTCGGTATTCATCATCAATGTACACCTCTTTATCATCCACAAAGTAATTTAAGTGAACGTATTAATCGTACTGTGAAACCTATATTAGCGTCATTCGCTCATAATGATTCAAAATCCTGGGATGTCAAATTATCTCAAATAACATTTGCTCTACGAGCTGCTCCAAGTGAATCAATAGAAAGTAGACCAGCTTTTCTCATGTTTGGACGTCATCCATATCAACCCATCGATTTATTACATCCACCTCCTGCTATTTCTGATTATTTACCATATAAAGAAAATTTATCTGATTATCGAAAACGTTTACTTGCCGAATTAATGCCTGCTTACAAAGCTGCACGTGAATTACTCGATCTTTCTCATTAAACACAAGCACGTAATTACAATATTCATCGTCGTCCATTAGATGTTGAACCAGGTGATGTAGTATGGGTGACCAGTTTATCTGGCATTGCCATGGGAAAATGGCGTGGTAGTAAGCTGCAACCAAGACGAGAAGGTCCATATAAAATTATCACTAAATTATCATCCGCTACCTATGAATTAGAACATATGATATCTCATCAATGTTTATCACCAATACACCTAGAACGACTTACACCTTATTATTCGTTTACAACCATCTCTTAATTATATTATTCACAACAAGATATTATATAACCTGATCGATTTGTCGTCATTCTCTTATTGGCGAATATTTGTAGCCATCACATTTTTCCTTAATTTACATGACAATTACGTGAATTTGTCGCTTCAGACCGTTCGTAAACTTCAAACAATCTTTGTACGTATACTGTGTTGATCGTTTTCTTTCATCTCATTATTACATTATATTCGATTTTATCATTACAAATTACTTAACTCAAATGATTCTTCGAATTATGAAATATTCTCTTCTGTCAATTAAAAAAAAACAAAACCGAAAAACAAATTACCCACACGAACAAAAATGACCAAAACTAATTGATATATAATTCTAGAACGGTCGCAGGAGCTCTAGTTTTTTTCTGTGGTAGGAGAGCCCTGTAACGGCACTGTGTGTCGTTACCAGAGATGTTGACGGGTTAACCCGTTTTGCATCAACCCGCCAGACCCGTGACCCGACCCGTAACCCGCGGGCGGGTTGGACCTTTGACGGGTTACGGGTTAACGGGTTAGGTATTTTCAGGATTTACGGGTTTGCCCGGTCGGGTTATATTTTTACATGAACCCGCGGGTTCAACCCATTTCAACCCGTTGACGAATTTTCCTTTTCGTCTTCTCATTCTTTCTTTTTTACATAGGCTTACGTTCACTATTTGTTTCATTTCTTCTTTTCTCCGCTGATTCAGCTGCTCTCACTATTTCTTTCGTTCTTCAACATC